TCTGATTAATAGCCTATAAATCAAATTATCATCAGTACCAATAGGAAAGAATCCAGATTGTAGTGTTAAATGACAAGGTGGAGGATCCAGCATGGTAAATGCAGCCAAGCCCCACAACCCCAGCAGCCGAACACTCCCTCCGCCAAATCCCGAAAAAGGGGTATCTCGGCTAAATAATCACATGAACACTTACATTATCCTCAACAACCAACACCTGAATCTTCGCCCTCTCCGAACGATCCAACTCAAACTCCGGCGCAATAGGAGGCATCATACTCATCGGTACGAACTGTCTAGACGTTCGATTCCTCTCCGAAGGACTATGTCCCGGAGGCGTCCCCGCAAAAGTATGTTTATCAAATTCCGAGCTATTACACGAGACACTCATCTCGGATTGCAATCTATCAGGTATACTACCGATATCAACGAGAGCGAGAGGTCCATCGTGGTATTGCGGTTTGTTGAAGGGGATCCAGAAGGTGGCTGTTGTACCGGTTCCCAGTGTAGATTCCAAGGTGATTCGTCCGTGCATTAAATCGACGAGGTTTTTTGAGATGGTGAGACCCAGTCCGGTGCCTCCGAATCGTCGGGCGGTGGAGGAGTCTGCTTGACTGAATGGTTGGAAAAGTCGTTTCCTGACTTCCTCCTCGATTCCAATACCAGTATCTTCAACCACAAATTTCACCTCGAAGACTTCTGCGGTTTCTCTTTCTTTCAGTACAGAGAACTTGACTCTTCCTTCGCTTGTGAATTTGATGCTGTTGGTCAGAAGATTCGTGATAATCTGACGTACTCGCCCCGGATCACCCATAACAATCAAATCACTTTCACTCCCTACACTAATATGCGAGTCGAAAGTAAGATTCTTTCGCTCCGCCGCGAAGCCAAGCATCTTACTGACATCTCTCACAACGACAGAAAGTGAGAACTGCACCTCTTCAATATCCAAACGTCCCGATTCCACTTTCGAAAAGTCCAGAATGTCATTGATGACGGTAAGCAACCCATTCGCAGATCTCTGAATATTCTCCGCACAATCCCGCTGCTCTTCATCGAGATTCCCAGTCTCCACCAGTAACTCTGCCATCCCAATCACACCAGCAATTGGAGTTCGGATCTCATGTGACATGTTGGCGAGAAATTGACTCTTTAATCGACTCGCTTCTTTGGCGGCTGCTTCATTCGCCAGTAACCTCGTGTTTTCCTTCTCCTGCATCTGCATTTCCAGCTCGCGGTCCTTGACTTCCGTGATATCCATGCTTACACCAATGACGCCATCAATAAATGCTTCGTTGATACATCCTTCGCTATCTTTCTTACCGAGCACCGGAACAAATCTTGTTCGATACCATCGGCTGTCGATACAGTGTTCCTGTACATCCTCCATAATCTTCCCATTCAAAATATCTTCGATCGCCTGGAGCGACGGGGTACTGCGATTTCCAAATTTACCATGGTTAAAGACGTGGTAAACGTTCTTTCCAAGAAAACCATCTCCTTTCGATGGCTTGTTGCCACTAGCATTCTCCTCATCTCCAGACTCACTGTCGCTATCCAAATCCCAGATAAAAGCTCCCTCGAGTAAAGTCATATTCCGATTTCGATCCACAGCAAACAAGGTAACTTGCGCATGTGCAATGACAGATAGTAATTGCTGGCGCTGTCAAAATGTCAGTAAAATTAACACAAAAAGGCGAGGACTTTGGTACCATTCTTCTTGCAGCAGACCTTGACTCGACCGCCTCATGTATGTCGGTACACGAACCAAACCACTTTTCAATTTGGCCTGTATGTTTATTTCTCATCGGTAATGCACGACCTAACATCCATCTCCATTCTCCATCTTTACCCTGACATCGATACTCTACTGAATACGGTGCCCCGGTTGCAAGAGAGTGTGTCCATCTCTTTTCAGCCAGAGGCATGTCATCGGGATCAAAAGGTAATCGCCATCCTTCTCCATGTGATGAATCTTTCGAAAGGCCGGTATAATCATACCTATCGTTTGTAAGTACGGGTAGTGACATACAAGCGATAACCAATAGGGGTCTTCAACAGGTCCACCTTATAACAATATGACATGGAAAGCAAAAAACGTTGCACCGAGTTTCCACTTACCAACGCTGACTGAACCAATCATGCATACCATCCGGCGTCGTAGTCCACAGCATCTGCGGAAGACTATCACATATTATCTCAAATCTTTGTTCATCCTTCTCCTTCAGTTCCGTCATCTCTTGCATCTGTTTAGTGATATCTTTACAAGTCACCACCCCCGCCAAGAACTCGCCAGTATTTTCGTCGGTGATCGCTTCCCCAAGGCAATCGAATATCAGTCGCTCGTTCGTATCCGGGTCAATTAATCCGATTTTTCGGCTAGAGAAGGGAGTCTGGGTTCGAACTAGAACGGCAATTGGATAATCTAGTGGATCGAGGACGGAAGTAAAAGTCTCGTCCCAGAGTTCCCACTTTGAAACTAAATCCATGCCATCTTTCACATCGCTCAAGTCAGCTTTGGGGGAGAATAGACGCCGCGCGGCTTTATTTGGTATGGTCAGACTTTGATCTTTCCACATGGCGAGTATTGGAACCGTAGTTCCATCCATCAAAGCATCTTTCATTGTAATAATTCTGTGTAAACTTGAGGGGGAACTTGAGATGCCTGTTTTCGTTGGTGGGCCCAATGGTGGAAATGGACTAAAGGACAGTGATGCTGCGGTTGGGCTGGTAATAGCTGATGAATTACTGCTACCACGAGTGGAACTTCGTCCTAAACTCTCCGAAGTACGACTGGAACGTGTATAAGTGACAGACATTGCAGAAGCCCGTTTCGGTGCTTTGGGGATTTTTCTCGAGGTTCCTCGGGGATCCGGTAGGGATTTTGGACTGGAATCTGTGCTCGTAAAAGTCAAAGTGAAATATCTCTCATCTTCTACTTCCCAAATCGAAATAATCATCTTGGCGAATGTGTGCTCGCCCATCATCGCTTGGCCATGACGTGCGAAGGATGATGCTGCAAAGGCCCCACGAGAAATGACCACTTCCACCACGGAATCATGAACGGAGGTCGAGTTAAATTTGGTAGTACTTAAACGATTATCCCACGACGCGCTTCGCGCAGTAGGCGTCTGGTCACCCTCCCCGCCTTCAAAGTCGGACATTTCACCATTTTTCTCTGCCCCCAAATCATCGGCTAGACTATCGAAGAAGGCTTCCCAATTGACCCATACCGACTCGCCTGCTTGGAGCATATCTATCCCCAATTGATTCAGCGTCTGCCCTTGGAGGCGTTGCATGATGGAGGGGCCGTCGTCGCTGGATGTCTCGTCATGATCTTCCAGTCCCAGCAATCTCTCCATCGCCTCGTTTCCCATCACCAATGTCTTCATGCTATCCAGAACGAGTACCGGATAGGGAAGGTATTGTAACACGGACAGTGCCAGCTCGCACGGAGAAGGGCCTTTTAAAGCCGGATTACTGAGGGGACTGTCAAAGGGATTGGGATCCTTTCGGGGAGACAGACCCCTCTCTTTCATGTTGCTATCAATTTTGAGGGCATCGAGGCCATCGGCTGGACTGGACTCTAATTGCAGAGGGGACGGCGTCCGTGGTACTTTCTGTTGGTCGTCCATGGATAGGCGCAGATGGTGGTTGAAGTTGCTGGCCTGGGCATCTCGAGGAACCATTTTCGAAATGGCATCGAAGGCGATTCTCTGCTCCACCATGAACTGAAGGTTTGTTGGGTGGGCGGAGGGGAATGGGACGACGCTGACGCCTACTGCGTCATAGCGAGCATAAGTGCCAAGAGACTTCGAGATGTGTTGTTTGGGACTAATGAGAGGAAGCTCAGCTGAGGAATCTGGTGCCAGTTCTACGGCCGGAATATACTTGATGAGGCTGGAGGATGGAGCGAATGCAATGCGTTGTCGCCAGTGAGAGAGACGTGAGTATTATCCTGTGGTCTGCTTCTGTTCTTGTGGAGGGGTTGGTTTAGGGATGGATTCGAGAGGGAGGTGAAGCTGCACGAAAGAGTTGAGGGCGAAGGCGAAAAAAGAGGATGGTAGGGTGCGAGTGACTAGAGGTGGAGGTGGAGGTGGAGGTGGAGGTGGAGATAGACGACTTAGTGGTGGAGTTAGTCAAAGTGCGAGGTTGGTGATGAGCAGAGTATGAGTACCAGGACGTATAGATAGTAGGTAGGAAGCTATGAATAGGTATCGAGGAGGATAGTACCTAGTCGAGTAGTAATAATAGTAGTAGTATAATAGCAGACGTAGTAGTAATAGTCGCAATAGGGTCTAGACTTAAGCAGACAATTCTGAAGGTGTAGATGTACTCGAGTAGATGTATGCGTCGGATCGCTATGAATCTCTCTACTGTACTCCGTAGGCAACAGAAAAGACTGCACCGCTCTCTTCACGCACTTCCTCCCAACCATCGCATCCCGATCCGACCATTATGACGCGGTGAGATGGACTGTAGTCGCCGTGGTCCTCGTCGGGTAGCCCGCGGGAGTGAATGGCCGTGTCCGTGGCGTGGAATGCTCCGGCTCCCGCCAATCACGTTTCGCCTGGGGGCATCCATGATAATAAAGTGGGGCCATGACGTATTAGCCGGGGGGAATGCGGTACTTGTGGGGAGAATGCGAACCTTAAAATGGGGCCCCCGCAAATGCAACTGCCCTGTCGGTCGCCGGTGCAGGTGCAGGTGGCTGCTGCAGTGGCAAGTACGGGGTAACACAGCATAGTAGGTACGTAGGTACGTAGGTACGTAGGTAGCTACAGTGGTGAAGGAGCTTGAGCTTCTTCAGTGTAGACAGCCTGAGATATAGGTACCTAGGTACTATAAGCGTCTGGTATCGCTGTATAAGCACTGCAGCGTACAATTCAGGTTGACACTACACCTACACGTACCTAGAAACCATTGGAACCTGATACTGTGCTGATTCTCATCTGATGCTTCCAGGTCACATGCAGCCTCCAGTACTCAATCACAAGGACGTCATGACGCTGGACCTCAACCATCGAACCGAAATTCAGGTACGAAAACGATCACGTACCTGTACGTGAGAGTATATATAAACTACCATACCTGCAAGGACAGGCTCAGTAAGGATCAAGGCAATTGTACTACTGTATCTCCTCCAGAAACGGATTGGGCAAGCGAAACGTTCCCGTCCACCAGCGTCGTTCAGAGAGTGGATGCCAGGGATGGCAAAACGCAAACGTTCCAGACCGGTCCATTATTGTGGGGAAAGAACCAGGGATTCATTGCCCCCGACCGTCACGAAGAAATCGCCGCATGACAAGAACTACGGAGGTACTTCGTACATCGTCGATGTGACGATGTCATAGGAAACGAGGAGATTTGTTGATGATCTGCCAAAAGGTTTGCTCGTTTAGGGATGAGAAGGCGTCGGGAGGAGAAAGGGGAAACTTAGTTGAATGGGTGGATTTGATGGTTTTGCTGGGGAAGTGGATAGTATTGGAACTTAGAGGAGTAGTAGGAATGTTTCTCGGCTAATTTAGTTAGGGTTTGGGGTTTGGGGTTTGCTTACGTACTCTTGTAGGTAGGAGAAAGGTATACTGCTAGCCTATTAGTAAGGTAATTTTAGTGTTATAATACATACTAGAAAGATATATCGCCAGTCTCCTATTAATAGATCAGGGTCAAAATACACTACGTGCCCCCCTACTATCACCAGAAAGCTACTCTGTAACACCGAGAGAACCGGCAGGCAGAACGTCCTAACTTAGCTTGGCCTAAGTACAGTCGCCAATCGAAATCAACTAAACTAGTATAATGGTGCTTCCTGAACCTGATAAGAACGTTCTGCCTACCGGTTTCCTCGGTATTACAGAGTAAGGGATACCTTACCTCCTCTACTCTACTCATACAAGTATCTCACTTTCTCCATACGAGTGAGTACGTAGGCAGATGAAATCGCACATTTAACGCCCGTGTACCCTACTATTACCCTTTCCTTAAACCCTTGAAATAAATCTGAAAAGATGTGAATTAAATCCTAAAGTATTCTTTAGCATCTACTTTGTAAATATAGAGCTTTGTAGATGTTGTATTGAATGTGTTATTGAGTGATATAAGGACTTGTTGTGGCGGGACCAAAATGTGCGATTTAATCTGCCTACGTAGAGCGAATTCACTCACTTACTTCGAAGTACCCTCTTCCTCTCCCTGTACAAGTACAATAGCGTAAAACCCAAGCAGCCTAAAGCTTATCCCCAACCTGTCAAGCTCGATCGACAGTCCTTCCCCGCCCCTGTCCATACCCATGTCCCAGTCAGGGGAAACCAGATCCTCGCATCGTATTTCCTACCTGTCATCGGGGGGTGTAGATAGATAGTGCGTAGTATTCTCCCCTCGCATCTTGAAAGATGTTTGTTCATCGTACTTCGTCCCAGGCGAACTAATTATAGGGTTTTCAGGGGTTTTTACAAGTACCCTGTTGCCAATCTTAGCCACCCTAGCAAAGCTACAATTATATCGCATGGGACGAAGTACTTTCTACTTCTACTTCTCTTTCAACCTCCTCACAGACATGCTACTTCGTATAAGAATTCAAACTTTGACAATCTATACAGTAGACGGTAGTAACGGGGTTTTTACATTTGTAGTATACTTACCCTGAAAATCCGGCCTACCTATCGAAATAAGCTTATACTTTTCGACGATCCATCACCGCTTCCGAGTAGATCCCACGATGTCACACCGTCAAGTATGAGTACCGATAAGCTTACTCAAGCTTGGAATCTTTGTGAGCACGCTGTTTTGTAGCGGTGTAGATATTATATCATATTACATTTAAAATTTCCAAAAAGATAATAACGGAACTAGCTAGAGCACGTTCCTGGATCCATGGATAGATAGATAGATAGGTAATCTGGTCTACGTCATTGTGTCTTTGAGTTTGGTTGTCGGTTTTATGTAGCATTGTTGGTTATACGATGTAAAAAATGGTTTCTATATCTTTTCCTTCTCTCTCTCTTTCTCTCTCTCTCTCTTGGTTTAGTACAGCATCCTAAATGTACTAAAAGGTCGAATAGACTTAATCCTAAATCATAAATCGTAAATCGTAAATCGTAAAAGTTATATATTTACTATAACTATACCAGAGTACCTATACCCCCATACCCCTTAGGCTTTATATACCTAGAGATTTTTACGTGTGCCTACACCCTTACTACCTATCCCCTTACTACCTATCCCCTTACTATCTTCTATACTTACTATTGTATCCTTACTATCGTATCCTTACTATTATATCCTTATAGGTACTATTACTATATCCTTACCATCGTATCCTGCCGTTATATATTACTGTTATATACTTACTATCGCCGTCGTAAAGAAAAGAGAAGAGGAAGTAGGAGAGAGAGCAAGGAAAGGTAAGTAGTAAACAATTATTAGCGTAATACGTGCTAGCCTAGCTGATTTAGGAAGGTAGTATTTAAAGCTAGGAATAAGCGATACGTATAACTAAAAACTTTTCCTATCTCCCTTCGCTACCCTCTCTCTCTCTCTCTTTCTTTTAAATAATATACTATGGTACAAACCTTATACAATAGTAAGGATACGACGACAGTAAGGATACGACAATAGTAAGGATATAATAATATTAAGGATATAATAATATTAAGGATATAATAATATTAAGGATATAATAATATTAAGGATATAATAATATTAAGGATATAATAATAGTAAGGGTAGGCGATAGTAAGGGTAAGCAACAGCTAGACAGTGAAAGTAGTATACGTAAATATACCTAGGTACGTAAAGTCTAAGAGTAGGGGTGTAGGGGTATAAATACTCTAGTATACCAGTAGTAGTAAATATATAACTTTTATAATTTACGATTTACGAATTAGTATTAAGTCTATTCGCCCTTTTAGTACATTCACGATGCCGTATTTAGTGAGTTGAAATAATATTAAAGGTCTAATGTTCTTTTTGATAAAGGCTGCCTACCTTTATTAATTTTCTGTAACTCTTTTTTGTTAGTTCTTTTTTACGAGATTAATCGTATTTTTACTCTAAGATATACCCACTCCTCTTTCACTCCCCTAGGTTGGTCTTAAAATTTCCGAATTGCTAATAGTATCCTATATAACTTATATTCTATTCTTAATTACATTTTCTACTCTAAACACCAAAAAAATCTAGACCCACTTTCCAAAACCCCCCCACTTAACAATATCAAAAATCAAAACCCTAGAGTTTCACACACACTCTCTGTGAGAGGCCAGACCTCGAATAGCTCAAAGGTGTGTTTTCGAATATTCAATTAAGAAGTGCGTGAAGACTACATACATGCGAGCTCTTCCTCTATATATAGAGAGGAAGAGCTTCCTGAATATTCCAAGAAACTTGCAAGAAACTTGAATGACGAATACATGATGTCAGAAGAACAAAACAAGAAAGTGTGGAAAAGTAGAAACCTGTTTGGCAGTGGGGTAATGGGCAGTGCTAAGCAGGGACTTTGGTCAGTGCTTAACGAGGACTTTGGTCAGTGCTTAGCGAGGGCATGGCCCGAGCCTCCATCATGGGTTCCAACCCTCACACACTCCCTCTCACTCACTTCACCACCATCCCCCATCCATCCATTCTCGTCCTCCCCATCCTCACCCCTCCAAAACCCTAACAATCAAAACCCCAACAACCTCAAAAAAAAAATAAAAAATAAAATAAAAACATATAACAACACGTATTCGCTGGTGGTCACTCACCCAACTACTAATCTGCCGATCTGAGGCTTGTGTATGGCAGAGCGGACGGGATGCCCAATTCTCCTCAGTCTATGGTCGTATGTGGTAAACTTTTTCGAGTTTGGATGTATGCTAGAAATTTGTTGTGCAGATTAGGATCTGGGTTGGGTTTGTTTGGTTGGTTGGTTGATTTGGTTGGTTCCTAGGTGGGAAGGGAGTATATAAGAGAGAGGGTAAGAAATTTAGGGATTAGAAGGGGAGGGGTCAGAGAAGGTAGGAAGAGGTGGGAGTTAGGAGGTAGGTCATGTGATTTTGGCGCTGGAATTGTGAAATGGTAGGACGTTATCTCGCTTCTTTGTTAACAAAGAAGATATAACGAAGTTCACAGTGTTTCTAGTCTACTACTTAATTTTCTATCGTGTCCTCGTTAGGAGAATGTCATTCTATTTGATTTAATTTACAACGTTTCCATCAAAAAGAGAACGGCGGTAATATTGTACCATTATCTAGTACCCTTCTATTTGCCCAACTAAAATGTAAATGCCTTGTAGGCTTTAATATTTCAAACTCCTTTAACAAATATCCAAGACCGCAATCAAAGAAGAGTGCATGGTAGGCGTTCTCTCTAAAGGGCTAAAAACCATCACATCAAAGGGGTAAAGAAAGTTGATTGTGGCTGACAAGTCTTTTGTTCTTGGATGCAAGTAAAGTATGGATTTCCAGAGTCCATAATCGCGGTACTGTATAGATCCGACGCGCTCATTGTTCACAAAGAGAGTAATCTTTTTTCTCATTGCGGTACCTCTCTATATTCATCAGTTACACACAAGCGCAACGATAATTAAACAATTTTCAACATTCTACTTTCTTCTGCGGTTGATCTATAATATTTTGTATAACGAGGAAATCAGTATACAAGATGTCCTCACGCACAAGGTCAGATAAAGGAAACACGCCGCGAGAACCGCGAATGGCCAACCCACTACCTGAAGAAGACCTTCCCATGGACAATTCCCCCACTGGTCCCAAAAGTCGCCTAACCTTCGGCGTAGAGCTCGAATCCGCAGTTGCCGCTCTCAAACCAGATGAAAAAGATCCACATCCAGAAGATGACCGAAATCCCTATATCCTCGGAAATGCGATCTGGACATTCTTCCCCAATGCCTTCCGCGCGATGGTGAAAACGCTTAATGAGAAATCTATTCCCGCTGAATGGCATGATCCCGATGTCTATCCACCGCCAGATGAAGATGGAGATCAGTTTTGGAAACCGCTTAATTATCAGTCGTGGGTTTTGAAGGAGGAGTCGAGTATTATACCACCGGATCAAGTTGATGCTATTGGAAAACGGATTGAATCCAAAGCACCTGATGGGTATCATTATATTTCCGCCGAAGCGATATCTCCGCCGTTTTATTATAGCAAGGTGTCTTTGGATGCGGTTAAGCAGGTATGCGGTGTTCTTTCGAGTAACTTTAGGAACAACATCAATCCTTCTTGCGGGTTACACATTCACGTGGGAGACTCGAAGAAAGGCTTTCCCCTCAAAACACTCATCAACTTCTACGTAACGGTCTGGACTTTCGAGCCTCAACTCGAGTCTATCCTCCCAACTGGTCGTCTCCAAGCCCCAGTCTACCGCAAACTCCGCCAACACTCGAATCTCGCTGATCTGACCACTTCCCGCAAAAAGCTTCCCCGTGTCGGCCTCAGACATCTCCTGGCGAATGTGAAGACGATCGAAGAGCTAGGGTCAATTGTGGAGGATTTATCACCTACGAAGACGAAACAGAGAAGTGTCTTTAACATGGATGGTTTACTTGGAGTCAAGTTAGGTTACAAATGGGCCAAACCTACCATCGAGTTCCACCAACATTACGGAACGCTGAATCATGAAGAGATCACGAATTGGACGACGTTGTGTGTGGGTCTTTTGGAGTTTGCGGATACGGTTGATTCGGGTCTTCTGAGGACTTACTTGGAGAGACATATTGATCATTCTCCAGATGATTTTGGAATTGAGCAGGTGCTTTACAGACTAGGGTTGAGGAATATTGCAAGGTATTACGGCGAGAGAGCGGAATCTTTCGATTCAGTGAGGAAACTAGACTCGCCCCTTATCAAGGAATCTATTACCATCCGCTCTCCTGCGGCATCCAAGAACATCCCACAAGACATCTATGACCGAATCTGGTCCGAGGTCTTTCCTATTAACAAAGACATCCTATTCTATGCTCATGAATCCAGCGGCTGGCGTAACAACCAATGGTCCAAATTCGGCAGCTCTGAAGTGGCGATACGATGGAGGCTAGTCGATCCAATCCCACTCTACGGGGTTGACAGGAAGACAACACAACGCTCGATTGCGACTTTTTGCAGGTTGAATAGACCTATATTGATAGTCTGTGATGACTACCAACTTCTCGATGCCTTGGCTGCTGTTATACCGATGTGTACTGATGAGCATGCATCCAAGATGAACTTTACATACGCATGTTTGAGGATTGATATCCAACAAGGTTGGCCTACCTTTTCCGATGGAGGTGCCTCGTGGACACGATTCCGTCGCAACCGTGGATCCAAAGACACCCCCTCTTACGGGTTGTTTCCTGGGATCTACATCTCGAGAGTGTTGCAAATGATCGATTGTTTACACTCCCCACAGCGACTACTAGGACCCGATGAATACGACGACGATCAACCTGAAGATCGAATCTTCGAGGTCTGCAAAATGGTTTTCACTTTCAACACTTCGAACAAGATGTACGCTGGTCAACGGAACCTCTCAGATCTCACTCTCGAACGAATGGCCAAAGGGGGTCACAAATACACCACATCTGGGATACCCATCACGCGGACCACTGAAGGCCTGGCTCCTGTAGACTGGCAGAATCTTACTGACCTACGTTGGGTTCCCGTCAAGCCGCAGTTCACAACGCGGCAGACGGAGATCGAAGTCATCGGCGTGAACGACGAGAGAGCAGCCACCCTTCAGGGTTTTTTCAACCAACCCCCATGGACGCGAGAGGACTCTACGCGAGAAGCCAACATCCTCCGCCAAGAAGCAGACATTTACTACGAAGAACGCAACCTCATCAACGCGCGAATGCTCTACTCCATGGCCTCCCAAATCTTCACCCGCACCCGCCAACCCTCCACCGAACTCCAGCACTTCACCGCGGCTGAACTCCAACAAATCCTCCCCCTCTGGCTCGTCCTCCACAAACTCTACACCCTCGCCAGCGAAGGCGCCACGGACAACGCCAACGACATCCTCCTCGAGAAGAGTCTCGATTTCTTCGATGCAGCCTTGGAGTACCTCCCCGAGCTGTACAATTTGAGACAGGTTAGTCCCAACTACACGTTCGAGGAGCGGGCGTCTATCTTCCAGGAGTGTGTTGAGCAGCTGGAGCGGAATGAGCATTTTGAACAGCTACAGTATTGGCTGAGGGAGGCGAGGAATAATAAATTGAGTGCGCAGGCGGCGGATTGGAATAGGGAGTTGCCTGGGTGGGAGTTTTTGGAGGAGAAGTTTCAGCAGTGGAAGGATTGGGAGGCGAGTTAAGGGGGGG